AGAATGGAAGTACAGTGTGCCCTCTCATATCTGATTCCTTACACGCCATCTGCAGCGAAGAGAGTGTCACTCTGGTCGGTAGAGAAACAGAGCTAGCAGCAGCTGTGTCAGTGTTAGACACGTTAATAACTTCCAAATCAAATGGTATAAAATATCTACAGTCAAGTAAGTACCGAGGTGAACAGAGATTGATTTTTGTTAGCCCTCATTATTTTAGCCAACGTTACCAACCAGAACCCTCCATTAAGTACTGTATCCAAAGTCTATGCAAAACTGTTGAATAAAACATGTGAGTGATCTTTTTTTGTTGTTGAAAAATTATCATAAAAATGTGACAGAAAAATGTTTGCGGTATGTATGCCAGTAGAAGGGATAATGAGAGATCTTGGAGTCAAGTAAAAAAAAAACCAAAACCAAAATTTATTATCATAAAACAACTGTTTTTATTTGCACAGTTGGAAGAAATTTATAGGTGTGGCAATTCAAATTCAGGATTCTGCTGTGCATCTTTCTGTGTTTGTTTCTGTGCGAGCTTTCCTTGTTGAATGCCTAGACTCATCACATTCACGCTTTACTCACATGTCATACATATGTACATGCATTTGTTTCATGATCCAAATTCAAATTCGAATGGCCATTTAAGTATTAACGGTGTATAAAAAACATCAAGCAATTTGTTAAAACTTGTTACGGTACCATCTTCATCAGCAAAGGTTATTTGGTCATCAACTCACGGATACATCTTGTCAGACTCTACATGGCCAACATATATTTAATTACAATACTAGAGATACTGTGGAATACTTTATTTTCGCTGGAATTAATTTTCGCTGAAAAGGCTTTTTGGGCATTTTGTATGGAATTTATTTTCACTGAGTTTAATGTGAATTATAGGAAAAAAAGTATATTCGCTGGATTTTATTTTCACGGAATCATCCCTTCAGCGAAAATAAAGTATTGTACAGTATATGATTCAATGCATTATCCAATTAAATTCGTTATAGCTGTATTTATATAAATAGATACATCTACAGTAGAAGATTTTCTTCCTTGACATTGAGCTGACATTTTATATTCGGCTACTTGAGGGCTTAAAATCTAATTACTTCCATCGCAACAAAGGCAATCATCTTTATAAATTTCAATGGCAGTTGAATTCAACCAGCCAATCATTTTAATTTGAATTGTGAAATTCATAAAGATAAAGGGAATGCCTTTGTTGTGCTGAATTGTACTAAAGAAACACAGCTGTGAACACAGTCACCCTGAAATGCATGGTAATGATTGTGTGCACGATGCAAGCTGTTTTGCTCTCAGTAATATGAACATAGATTTTCAACCGTCACATGTTGGATAACATAGCAACTGTATTTACAACATGTCTGGGCTATGAACTGTGAAATGATAAAACTTTAAGAATCAAAACAATGATTTCAATATTTTGCAATGCATGTCAAAGAAATGGATGCATGGAGTCAAGAGCTAGTGTGGTGTCTGCATCAAATATGTGCTGTTACAGGATCAAGCGATAGTCTGCATGGATAGTTTGACCAACTGTAGTTTTTTCAGCGCTAGGCCACACACCAAAGACAATCCTGGCAGGTGGCAACACAATGCTACATTTTGTAACATACGTATATGCTCATTACCTTCTGGCTGAATATTAAAAGACAAGATGCGAACAACTCAGGGAAAGCATTTGTTACTTTTAAATCAATTACATGTTCTCGATGTCCCTGGCAAACAATTTCTAGCCTTTATTCAAATGTGTAATCTGTGTAGTGTTTCCGCAGTTCAAGAATAATACAGCAATACAGTTCGATGTATAGCAATGTTGTTAGCAATTGCAACATCCTCCAGTTGATTATTCTATGAAATTCTTTCGATGCAAATGTCACAGTTTACCATATTGCCTGTGTTCTTCATAAATATTGATAGATGATCAGAGAATTTTTTTACCCTTTCAGATGAAGGTATCACAAGTGATTTATTAGTGATTCTAAATGAAATCAAACCTATTTTAAGAAGACCTTCATCCACATCCTCATCTTTAGCTGCTGCGGATGAAGAACAGATGGAAAAAAGAAAAGCCAAGACTTTACAAAATGTTATAGTGAACCTTATGTCTACTGTTCTCAAAACACGGGTAAATGTTTTTGTTTTTTAAATGTTTTGTGTTTCATAGAAGGTTCCTGACATTGAATGTCACTGTTGTTTCTTCTGACTGCTCACACGTAGCACATTTTTGAGGATATGACAGGGCTGTATGTGCAGCCAAATAGCATTTTAATGCACTATTCTAGTTGAACTAGGCTGGTTTAGCAACTGTAGACCTTAATCAAGGTTCCCCCAAAGTCGCTTCCGTTTTTGAATGAATCTCAGCCAGTGGGGTTTGCTTTTGAGTCTGTGGCACACTCACCCAGGGTATGGGGTTGAACCGTTCAGTAGGATTTGGTAAGGTCTACTGTTCATGAGTCTGATGCACAACCACTACACTATGTCTGACCGGTGATTGTTGCACTGTAATCTAAAGGTCACTCATCCTGGTACTTTCTTGGGGTAGAACAAATAATTTAAATTTCATACATGAGAAATAAATTGCAATCAACCATGCTTGCTATGTGCCAAACTTTCTATTTTCTTTCTTTCTATATATGATTTTAGCTTCACTGTCATCCAAGATGACAGAGCAGACCTTTATATATATATAGGTGATTAGCCATCAACAACTAAATTTTTGACTTTTTCTTGAAAACTACTAGACCAATTACTTTGATACTTGGTATGTAGGTACATTGGGAAGACAATATTTTTAACGAATCTTTAATGGAAATTTTTGCCATATGCCATATTCTAAATCATCTTGTACACTACCAACTCAATTGCTTTGATATTGCTATGCAGGAAAATGTATTTGACTGCTTTGAGATTTTTTATCTGATGATAGCATTCACAATTGCCATGGCAACAACCATATAATAACAATAGTCATGACAAAAAGCCAAAATTTCATTGTACAGAACATTTTTAACATTGTTTTGAGAAAAACTGCGGAGCTATTTTGCTTGTGAGGTCTCTTGTTTATGTTGTATGTTATGTTTTTATGTCATGCTAGTGAACATGTTAATTCATTTTGAAAATGTCATTGCTTTCCTACCTAGATGTGGTTTTGTATGTCTGTGTGTCTTTAGCTTTTGTAAAACTGCATAGGATTGTGGGTATTCATGTATTTATTGATATAATATTGCGAAGATTTACGGGTAACTTTGTATGTTTGTCTTTTCTCACAGGATGGTAATACTATTATTTGTAATCAGCTCAAAAAGTGTCCGCGAAACCATGTGAAAACATTGAAAGGAACACTAAAAAGAAAAGGTGTAGATGATGACATCATTCAAACTTTAGAGTGGGAACTCTGAGATATATACATGGTTTATGAAGAGATCAAATACAGTCGCTGAATGTTAGTAGGGACCGGTGGGCATTGAGTGTGTCATCATAGTGACCAGTCAATTAAATGATGTATTAGTACATGTACAAGGCCATGTTACTGACGATGTGTGTAGGAATGTTACTTGCATATCTTAGGATAAAAACACATGATGAAATCACTGATATTGCACAGAGTAGTCAAGAAAATTTGTTTTTGGATAATTTGATTTTTGAAAATTGACTATTTCGCCAGCCAGGGGTAATTAATTTTTGCTATTACCTCACTATTATACTTTGGCAGAATTTCCAAATCTGTATTCACTGTTGACGAAATCAAGACACAACAGCGGGTGTTGTGACGCCTTTCCAAGGGAAATCTTATGCGAAATCCCATGTTTTATCGAGTAAGCTATGTGATATGAGACGACAAAATCTATTGGTTTAATTTTGAAATAAATAAGAGTCATTACAAAAATGCAGATTGATAGATCCAGCTCCTTAGCATGCCAATCAAATTGAAATTATCTGAGGTCAAATACAGGTTTTTCTAACATAGTTACGCACAACTATAGATGGCCGGCTTCATTTAAACCATGCGAATCAGACAATGGAATTTGCCATGCACTGGTGGCTTTTAATTTTTATTCTAAAATTTGTGCTTTCATTATGATTTTTCATGAAAATTTATCGTTTTTTCTAAAATTCTGAGAAAGAAAAAAAAAAAAGCTGTGACAAACTCAGTTTTTAACTGATGCGTACAATGTATTTGTATTTGGTTCCTATGTGTGTGAAATGAAAAACCCTGTTATTTCTGTCTTTCAATTTTCAATTGTACTCTACATTTAGTTGTAAATCATTCAAACTATGTCAAATATATATTTTTTTAGTTTTCTTCACGAGTTGTTTGTTACCCATATGTACATTTAAAGTGGATTTTTACGTATTGAATATTTCTCTGTAATTCTCATTGTTGATTTGTTAACATTTGTGGCACTTACAATTGCGTTTGTATTGGATGCTTTGTAGACAACAACGCATGGGCCAGCATGTCTTTGGTTTAATTTTCTACATGTGAGAAACGCCCTCTATACCAGATTCTGTTTATAACATACATGATCTGTGTGGCCATAGAGGGCGATATACACTATGACCCATATTTTAAATAAAACAATTACTGATTGTCTAGGGCTTTCAGGACCTAAACCTGTGTGTAATATGGAGCACTATGGTTTAACATTGAATCTGGCATTCTGGAGGTTTATAAATTGATGTACAATAAGAACTGGTCGCTGCTGAATTCAGACTTCATGAGCAAGGGGCATTTAATCAGTAAATGATTGTAAATCATGTAATTGTATTTACCCAGTTGACTGTGATATATTAACTGTGGCTGTTTAATGCACTTGATACACTCCCCTGAAATATGGTACATCTTTTGCAATAATATTCACCGATATGTCCATGAATGGACAAGTATTGTTTTTGTTTTTATAGTGCTGTATGTTTTAATTCAGAAACTACTGCCAATATCTTCATACATGTTGAACAGCATTCCTGTTGAGCAGTGCTCCCTCTAAGGACGATGCGTCATTAATGCAGAAACATTTTTCGTGATGCAACTTGTTATGCTCATTCCCTGGTGCATCATTGGTGCGATAGAAAATCATATACTGGAAAAGTTTCTACAAAAAACATATTACTATTGTTGAGAACTTTGCAATTAGGTAAATTTACATTTGTGACAAAATAGGTGTGGAAATAAAAATCAAGCCATAACGTTTTTGTTTGTGCCTTCAGAAGTCACCTGTAGCCCCATATTATTTTGATTGTGCGTGGCTTTTTTGGGGGGATTTCATTTTGATCCAATGATCCCAACCAGATTAAATGGCACACTGTTGTTAGGTAGTGCATTTCTTTACGTCGTTCTGTAGTGTTAGACTGCTGCCAGAAATGACAAAAGGTCACTGCCATGTTTGAGAGTGTTTGATTCTGAATCTCTAGTATCTGCTGTTGTCGTGATTAACTATTTGTTCACCTGAATGAGGTTAAAAGTCATACGCGTTGGTTGGGTTTTATTTTTAGGGTTCCGGCTTAAGAAAATTTTTTTAAATTGACTTCCATTAATGTCAACACAAGAACTTAATAAAAAATGATGAACCTCAGTTACCTTAACTGTTAAAACATTTTTTTCTTAGTCAATATTTTCTATATTGACTCTTGAGTTCCTTTGTTAGGAATAGAACTTATTGTGGCGAAAAAAATAAAGAATTGTTAACAGATTTACTTGAAATATGGCAAAAGTTCAACAAAATCAATTGTGGGTGTTTTTTTTTTTATTAAAGTCCATTTTCTAATAAAAATAAGTCTATTATAATGATTTTCTAATTGCACACCCATCTATCTGCATGCGAGTCTCTAAACTTGTTGATTATACAAATTTGTTCATCTGGAAAAATACCTACTCATTTTGAATACTTTTGAGAAAGTTGGTCATCAATTCCATGACAATGTTCATTAGTTTATTAGTCAGATCAATATATGGAAAATACCCTCTCAACCCCCCCAAAATTGATACAAAAGGTTTCTTAACTGATTCTGGTAGGTTTCAGTGTACTTTTTAACATACTAAAAGTTTACCAAAGTAGGACCCCCGGAAAAGTGTTTTTTTTTGAGATGGCATCCAAGATGGCCGCCGAAACATCTGAATGATCATAACTGCTGTATTCAAATGCTGCGGCTGACAAACTCTTGAAATTTAACTGTTTGCATTGCAACTCTTTGGTGGGATGCAATTCCTCTCGATGCAGCTGCAGACGCTATGAACTCCCCTGCATTTCTGTATGTGGCCCTTGCCAAACTGAAAACTGTGACAACCCAAACAAGACTCAAGACGTTGATACTGAGGAAGAGGATGACACTCAAAACTGAAAACTCTGAAACTTATTCCATGGACAAAGGTATTTGTGCAATAGGTGATAGTGGACAGCTGGTCGTGAACTAAATTTCATAATGATTCAATAGCTCATTGATATCCAAAGCTCTCTTAATGTGTTCCTTGCCCCCAAAAACCTGGGGATAGACATCAAGATTATCACATTTGTGTCAATAGTTATGGACTTGCGGTCATTTGGAGGTGTTGGCAGCCATTTTTGTGTGTTACATAATAGGCCAACATCATTTTTTATTTATAATAATAATTAATGCTAGGAGTGGTACTATTGTTTGCAACAGCCATTATAATACAGTGTTCTAAATATTGCTAGGAGTAATACTATTGTTTGCAACAGCCATTAT